ACTCGGTTGAATTTCTAGATCAGTGTTTCTCAACCTTAAACGAATCGTCGCCCCCTTCAACGTAGTATCGCCCCCTTCAATAAAATCGTTACGTAGTATCGCCCTTCAATAAAACCGTTACGTAGTATCGCCCCCTTCAATAAAACCGTTACGTAGTATCGCCCCCTTCACTTCAAAACTCCGGAGCCGAGAGCCAAGGCTAACGCCAAATTCGTACTGCATTGAATAGACTAGTGACTAGTATAATGTTATTTGTTTAATTATTGTACGATATAACGAATAAAATATCTAATTATTGTTAATATAATGTTTTACTATATTGCCCAGAAAATTGTTTTTCGCTTCCCAAAATATAAATTGTTATCGCCCCCTCAACATGTAAAAACGCCCACATGGGGGCGATATCGCCCCCGTTGAGAAACACTGTTCTAGAGGAATTGAGAAGAAGCTAGGGTTTTCGGAGGTAATAATTATACAAGAGTGACTGATATAACGATCGAGTAAATGGCTGAGATATATTTCTATTAGGAAGTCCTCATAATTTGTCAGAGAATTTATAAAAGCAGCCGTCTTTTAGTTATTCTATAAAGATTTCCGTTTCCGTTTTGCAAACATTTTAATTCTTTAATTCCTTTTTAGACTTCTCTCTTAAATTCTGTTCTTAATGGTGGACAATTAATTTATCCTTCGTTTTGACTGACAAATTGAACTATTGTCGAAACTTTAAAGAAATTATCCAATAATTGCCTTTCCTCTTAGTGTTTTTCCTGATCCAAATATCGATTTTCGTGTAAACAACAAGTAAAATTTGTCATTCTCACTCTTGATCATTTTCTCCTTCCAGAATGAGTATTGTACTGTAAATTACATATTATAGAAGATCACCGAGTTCATTTGACCCAAGCCTTAAATTTATGGAGCCCGAAAATCATATGTTACAAACTATTCATTGCTTCTGAGAAAATTATATGTACTGTACAGTACAAACTACATGTATATCGATCACGTGTCATTCTTCTACAGGAGAGTAGATATTTACAGTAGTAACACTGAACGACGCTGCCATCTGTTGAATTATAAACGAAATATTAAAAAAAAAATCTTTATCTTAGAATAAATGGGATGTTCTTTTTAAATTTTAAACAGATCGCTTCTTCCATCCAATCTCCTTTCTCTTGCTATCTGATCCGTTACATCTGATCATCACGAGACAATCAAGGAAAAACGAAAGCATAAATTTCGTATTCATCCACTTCCCCACCTGTCTGTGCACGTGGAGAGTGGAAACACAATTCAAGGCGTGTTCCATTGATGTCGAATGACGTGTTCCTTGTGGCATATTGATGCCAACACATTTATTTTCTATCAAACTAATACGCCGATAGGTCGAGATAGAAGATCCATAATACCTCAGCAGTCATCAATTGATAGAGTGGGAATCAAAGAATATGTTTCATCTAAATTTCATAGGCACTACAAGTTTCATCTTGAAAGTTCTTAACAATAGACTTGCTCTTGATTCTTTTACCTTAAATCTACCCTAATTTAGAGACAATGAATGACTTCGAACGTTCCAGAAATACTACACACATCATCTGTTCATAGTTGCCGTAATGGCGATGTTCCAGTCTACTCACTTCCATTCATTTATGCCCTACTTCATTATAAGAACACCCATTATAATATTTTATAATTTAGTTTATTCTGATAATCAGGATAAATTTTCATAAAATGATAATACTTATCTGAAGATAACAATTAACAAATCGAGTTGGCTTCAGAACACAGACAACTTATCAAGGTCATTTCTATTGTTACAGTCACAACACAGTGAGTCACGAGTGATAAAGCGAGAATAATCGAGAAAGTTCTCTTCTCTATAAATATCAGTAGCGCATACACTTAATTCAAATACATCCAGATAACGAGAAGTTGTTGCCATAAAGTTACAAGTTAAAATGTCTCGATTGCTGTTACCCGCTTTACTGGGCGAGACGTGGGATTATCCACGACGTTTATTCGACCAACACTTCGGTTTGGGTCTTACAGATGACGATTTCTTCCCTCCGAGATTGTATCACGGTTATCTCGTACGGCCCCGACGTCAGACGAGTCATCAAGATTCTACTTCCGGTGTATCGGAGGTCGTCAACACCAAAGATCAATTCCGAGTCATGACCGACGTCAGCCACTTCTCTCCGGAGGACATAACTGTCAAAACCATGGACAATTACACGGCAAACACGAGGAGAAAGTGGATCAACACGGATTCGTGTCCAGAGAGTTTACACGAAGATATGTCCTTCCTAAGGAGGTCGATCCCCAGAAGGTGACATCGTCGCTGAGTGCCGATGGAGTGTTGACGGTGGTAGCTCCCAAGAAGTGTGAAGAATTGCCTTCTAACGAGAGAATTGTTCCTATAACTATACAGAAGGTTCCTGCAGTAACAGAGAAAGTAGAAGATACTTCTAAATAATAATTTGTATCATTAACTCACAAATTTAACTTAGTAATGTACGAATACAGCGAGAGCCAACTGATAATGTAAATTATATATTTATATTTTTCTATAATTTATTAAATTAATAAAAGCCATGTAATAAATAAATAGTTTGAATCATTTTTTTTTCAAGTACACGAATAACAGTTTTATTTCTAGAATTTTTACAAAAGCTTAAAAAGTGAAGTAATTCATAACTTATACATTGATAAAATCGTGTAATAATGATTTCTGAATATTTTACAAGATTTAAATGTTAATTCGTTAATGAGATTTTTTTAAAAACCAGAAAATATGCGTTTTATCAACAATAAATTGCGGTAGTTGGATGTGTTCCAGATGAAACATTTAAATAGTGAAAAGTTTGTGTGGAAATTGCTACATTGTAGAATTAATGCTACAGTTTTATTTGATCCAAGAAATGCTCGAAGAAATGGCCCTTAAAGTGAGAAAAATTCCTGTAAATTGAAAAAAATGTAACCATGTTTCGAAAATATAATCCATTATTTCTTTTATTTCTTTTTGGATTTATTTTTGTACACAATAAATACCAGTTTCAACGTCTTTACCGGTTGTAAAGCGAGCGTTTGTATTTTCCATAAGTTCGGTATTATAAATCGAGACTACATACCCGGGAATAACGTATTTTAACAATATAATACCATAGAAATATGTCCAATAAAAATATAACATTTTCTACAATTATAATAAGAAATTTATAATAATCGTAAAAGTTGGAGTTGTAAAGCAAACGGTCGTAAAGCGGGTTTTTACTATAACTTTTCATATAAATTAAAAAAAATTTTTATATTTATTTTTTATTAAATATATACAGAGTAAAGGGTCTGAATATGATTTTCTATTAGAGGAGAAAAAAAAGTTAATTAAATCAATATTATAGAAATATATAGATATATATGTAAATATAAGCGTTGACATATTCATCTAAGTCAATTCAATTTTCTTATTTCCAAAGGTCAACATTTGCCTTTGCAAAGAAGTCCATTTAAAATCACTATATACACAAAAACATGCATCTCATATATATAAATTTACCTTTTGAGTTAAGTAAATAATTCAATTTACTTTATTTCTACACCAAAAAATATAGAAATATTTATATTCCTCATCCTGTAAATAGGTAACCTTTTGTTCTGATCATAACATGAATGCTTTACTTACATTTCTATGTTTTCTTATGAGTTATGTACAGTATACTTTTGCACCTGATTATGCCTTTGATACCTTTGTATGCCTGATTATTCCTTTGTATTATGCCTAAAAATCTGTTTATAAGAATTTTATGAATTGTTTTTGATCTATAAATAATTCTGTCGTCCGTCTATCCGTCTGTCCTTCCTTAATCTCGAGAATAGAAGCCAAAAGTCACGTTATTTCATATCAAAATTTTTCCTCTGAAAGCAGTTAATAGATGATAGGCACGACTCTATTGTTAAAGGAAAAGTATGATGTACAGGGGCAAGGCACTACAGTATTAATTTGAGATGGAGAGCATATATCTTATATTAAATAAATTAAAAATATAATTAAAAATTGCAACTGAGCATTGTGACGATGCCACAATTTATAATTGCTCGTTCTTCATATATTTGTGAGTGTTTCATATATTAACACATTACCAAAGCTTAGTGATTGGACATTTTTTGAGAGCCCACACATATAGGTATAACTCCCGTATGGGCTCTCAAATATATTGACCATTAACCTTGCAAATTAACAATACATCTACTGTACTGTACATCTCTTTGTGTTTAATGTATATCACCAACTTTCCAATTTCGAATTAGTTTTCTGGGTTATTTTTACAATTCTAAAATTAAATAGAAGGCATTTCTTATAGGAAATCTTCTCGACAGACAGATCGTCCTGTAACACAAGGGCAAATTGCTTTATCTCATTTAAAACTAATTGAAATTGTTTGTATCAACAAAAATTTATTCAATTGTCCCTGATTTTGCGCCATACCACGCAGTTTTAGTCACAGTTTACGTACATCACCACATAATTATCGGTTGTATTTTCCTGATAGGAGCGATTAACACGTAACTCACACCATTTTCAAGTTTCTAGAAACTACTTTAATAAATCATGCCCCTTTAATTGACAGTTGTACAGCTCTTACACGTTTTAATAATTAATAATAAACTACATAAGACGAAACAAATTATAAGTTTTGATAGTAAATTATTGTTTCTTATATTTGTAGAGTTATTGTGAATAATTAAGGATTAATTAACGAAGCCGAATTATTTAAAATTAATGGAGAAATAGTTGGCAAATTTTTATGAGAGGTATACAGGAACCTTCTAGTTAGAAATCAAGGTCACTTTTTCTAACAGCACGGGAGTTGTTGAGTCATGCGCAGAAATGCTGAAAGATCGAGAACTTTCCTCTTCCCTATAAATACCGCTCGCAGAGTTATTCGCTTCAAACACACAGATAAAGGAGAATTTGTTATCAAATTTCTCTGCTCTTATAAAACGTTGAAATCAAAATGTCTCGATCTCTGGTACCAGCTCTTCTTGGTGACAGTTGGTGGTCCATGTGGGATTATCCACGTCGTTTATTCGATCAACACTTCGGTTTGGGTCTTACAGATGACGATTTCTTCCCTCCGAGATTGTATCACGGTTATCTCGTACGGCCCCGACGTCAGACGAGTCATCAAGATTCTACTTCCGGTGTATCGGAGGTCGTCAACACCAAAGATCATTTCCGGGTCATGACCGACGTCAGTCACTTCTCTCCGGAGGACATAACTGTCAAAACTGTGGACAATTGCATAATGATACACGGCAAACACGAAGAGAAAGTGGATCAACACGGATTCGTGTCAAGAGAGTTTACACGAAGGTACGTCCTTCCTAAGGGGGTCGATCCCGAGAAGGTGACCTCGTCGCTGAGTGCCGATGGAGTGTTGACGGTGGAAGCACCCAAGAAGTGTGAAGAGTTACCTCCTAACGAAAGAGTTGTTCCTATAACCATGCAGAAGGCTCCTGCAGTCACCGAAAAGGTAGAGGAAGATGCTTCCAAGAAATAATTTCTTTAATCTTTTGAAGAATAATTTAATGTTTATTATATAAAAGAACTTATAATGTTGTAAATTATGTAATTTTTCTATATTTGTTAACGTAATAAAAGACTTTTAATAACTGTATACTGTTTTGTTTCTATAAATTGAAAATCTTGTCACACGAATTCCTTTGTTATTAATGCTAAGACAACAGGTAAATGTGTAAAAAAAGCATCCACGTGTAAGAATGTGTTGATGGAATCTGTTTAAAAAACACTTAATGAGGTTACTATAAATAAAAAGGAAAGGTTGTATGTCTTCTAACAACAACAGTCTTTCGAGTGTTGGAAGTGTTCCAAATCTAAACATGTGATTCATGAAAGAAATGTAAACATAGACGATATTGCATGACGTTAAACTGTAAAACTTAACATTTTATAGCCTACACGTTTAAAACTAAACGATTTTTCGAAAAATACTTTAAAAATAAGCTTAATAAACTTACTAAAGTATACTTTAAATAAAACGAGAAAAAGCATTTTTTTTTTTTTTTTAACTGGAAGGCCTTATTTAACCTATACACACTTATATAACTTGCAATTTGCAATACCCCCTTTGAAAAAAAGGAGTATTGCAAGTTATATAAGTGTATAAATTTAGCATATAAATAAAAAAGTATAATTAAATTTTATTACAAGTTCTATAAAAAATGTACGGTATTTTAAATGAACTAATTTAGAGGAAAAACAGATAACGAAGTGTCACCAACTGTTTCAAAATTGCACATCTTACTTCATTTGATCTTTCTTTTTCTCAATAACAATTGAGAGAACGAAAGGTAAGATTTATATAAATCTACAACTCTAAAACGCTCTCCAATATAAAATCTTCTTCATATTATAGCGTGATAAAAAAAATCGCTTGCCAAATAGGGGTATTTATTATTCTTATTGTTTCGGGTGTAATAATGACCGGAAGTAATCATGCCGACCCCTGAACAACGAATGGAACTTGTTTTACTGTGTGGGGACAATCACAGAAAAACACCACAAGCTGCACAGGAATTCCATCAAGACTTTCCGGACCCTTTACATCAATTGTCGGCAATATCTTATCGAAATTTAAGAAAACATTCAATGTCCTGGATGAAAACAAATTTCACTCGAAACAATAAGAACCCCTATTTGGAAGCGATTTTTGGCCACCACACTGTACAGTACAGTACATTGATGAAGACTTCATAACGAATTTTTAACCTTAACAATGAATCAAATATACAATTTTTATACAAGTACCATCGAATATTTCTATAGAAAGTATTATATTTGATGAATAAGAGACTTATCTTTCTTCTATTTCCTTTCAAAAACATTATTTATTGAAGCTACGGATCACTCGACCGTTATAAAAGATATTACTTGTAGCCTATCTGAAAGCAATAGAGCTGTGTCTTTTTTACCTAACAGACAATACATTACGTCGTTTTACCGGCAAAATTCTTTTATACATTTCATTACAGTCGAATTTCCAATAACGACCACCTATAAAGGGCAGCCATCTTTTTTTTAAATGCATACAAAATACCTCCAAACAACGGCCATTTTTGTATTCTCGTCAACGGCCTTTGTTTGGACGTTTGATTGCATTTAAAAATATTAACAATAATTATACAGGTATTTAATTTTTAAAAATACACATACCGCGTCATTATCTTAGTATTGTATTACTATCAAGTATCTCACGTGATATGTATGTTTTCTGTATTGTATTGTACAGTATAATGAAATTTCTTTACAAAAGAAATCGGTTTGACCTTAAAAACTAATTACGGTAAAACCTGTGTAAACCGGAAAAAAAGCAGGTTTTCGTTTTGAACAGGCTTTTGAACACTCCGTTTAGGCAAGTTTCCGCTTTATTCGGGTTCCGTTTTGAATTTATGAACATCATTTGACACACGAGATCAATATAAATATTGGTTTGATGTTATTAACAACATATTTTTAAGAATTTAATTTAAAAAATAACAATGTAATATATTTATTTACTATATACAGAGTGGCCCGAAAGATATTTAACCGTGTTTTTTACCGAATATGAATCATAAACTGAGTTTCGGTTAGCTGATTTTTGGGCTTCTTATCTCCTCGCTCATTAACGGACAATTTTGATAGAAAAATTTTCAAAATTTGTACCTACAAACTAAGATTTAACTGTTAAATTATTTTGCATCTTTTAATGAAAAAAATCTCACCACTCGGCAATATATCTATATTTAGTGGGGTGTAGGGAATCTCGAACATTTTCTAAAAATTATAGATGCATTAATGGTTGTTATGACGGCAGTCTCTGTTCAAGGTCAGACACGCAGACGTCCTGTGCATTACGCGTGTGTTACAATCTGGAACTTATTCAAGGTGAAATTAACTACTTTGAGTGATGGGAATTTATTATAATTATTTTTAAATGTAATTTATTACAATTTATATAAAGTTTAAAAGTTTGACAGATTTAAAAATAAGAAATTCATAAATATCCAACGTGTTATTAATTCATGTTTTACGCAGAATATTCAATTTAGTGACATCATATAATAACTTAATTAACGCAAATTATCCATTAAAATATGAATTTAAACAATTAAATTACCATTTAAATTCGAATTTCATAGTCTTACTCCATGGAGAAGATCCTTGAAAATGATTAATTTAATTCAAATAATGGACAAATTCATTCTATTTTTAGATAGTTCGGGTTCTAAATCTTGCTTTGGTATAAACTCTTACATAATTTTAAGCTATTTTGTTTGGATTTCACGTATACATTAAGGCCCTGATAGGCAGTAACCAATGAGAAGCCATGTTTTCTCTCTCAAATTAGTTATAAATCTTAAAAATAGCCCTATTTTTAAAAATAAATTACTAATAACAGTTATAAATGCTAAAAGCAATTAGCTACGTTTTTATCTTAGCAGTGATGATGGAAGTGCAGAGGATTTGCACATACTCCGAACAAGTTGCAGCAGCTTATTATAAGTAATGTCAATAAATTATTAAATATACTTTTTTAGGGTTTGTGTATAAAAGTATTAAAATTACAAAAAAATAGTCCAATAATTACTAAAAAATTTGGATATAATCGAACAATTCGAGGGTACAAAAGAGGTAAGAAACTCGAGTACTCACGAAACCTATCTGTTTAATTTAATTTAATAATTTTGTCGCGTCAATACCATGAATAATATTGCTTATAAAGTAATAAAACTTATTTTTAATTCGTTAAACTGAACAATTCATTTTTCACGCTTGCTCAATTTACGTAGGCCCAGTTGCAACCTACTAAAAAGCAGGTGAACTGATAGAAAGCCTTTAAAGGTAATGATCTAACCTGATATCCTGTCTGTGTTGTCACTTCTCCCACTATTATAATTCCTATTTTACAAATTATCAGCAAAATTATAGCAAAATTGTAAGAAATTTGTACTTTCGAGTTCAGTTTCATATTGTCATTTAACAACGTTCTTAACTAATATTCTTAACACTTATAAATTACGCGTATAAAGATAAAATTTATGGATAGAAAATGTTAAATTTCTTGAAAAAATTGTGCAAAATAAAAATATTTTGAACATTTATTAAATATGGTTATTATAATCATTGTTTGCAATGTTAGGAAACTTCAAAGTTATGCTTCAAGGATAAAACAAACTCAAGAAAATTAAAAATATTTATTTATATAGCCTAAATGAATATTTAAAATTACATGTATACAGATGGAGAATTTACAAAATTATCTAAACTATTTAAAATTACAAATTTACTGTATTTTGATAGGAAAATTACTGTTTTGAAATCTCAAATTTTTCTTTCTCTGTAACTGCTGGAGTACTCTTCACCGTTATAGGAACAACTCTTTCATTAGAAGGTAATTCTTCACACTTTTTGGGTGCTTTCACCGTCAACACTCCATCAGAACTCAGCGACGAGGTCACCTTCTGGGGATCGACCCCCTTAGGAAGGACATATCTTCGTGTAAACTCTCTGGATACGAATCCGTGTTGATCCACTTTCTCCTCGTGTTTTCCGTGTATCACCACACAATTGTCCACGGTTTTGACAGTTATGTCCTCCGGAGAGAAGTGACTGACGTCGGTCATGACTCGGAATTGATCGTGACTACTAATAACCTCTTGTACTGCCGAGTTCGAATCTTGTTCTCTAGCTCGTCGTTGAGGGCTTAGGATGTATCTTCTGTATCCAGGTTGGAAAAATGGATCTTCCATTAATCTAAAATCAAAGAATCCTTGTGGATAGTTCCACATAGGCCAGAAGTCGTTTAGCATTGCGGGAATCAAAGAGCGAGGCATCTTGAATATACAGTTTGTCTCAAACTCGAGTTATATTGAACCTTTTGATGTAGCTTTACTTATATAGAAACGAAGAACATCCACGAACTCTCTAGAAGCTGTAGTTATGACGTAACTTACTTTTTAATTCTAAAAATTACTGCCGCCAAAAGGCAGTGTCATTCAAGATAAACTAAGCACTGTTAACTTGGCAAGTTAACAGTGTTTAGTTTATCTTGAATTTGAAACAAGTTCAAATAGCGAATAGCACGAAGCAACAGCTCCATTACCGATTTTAAACACCTAAATAGAGGTCAGTTTCTTATAGAAAGGCCTGCAGAAAAATAGGATTTTCAATAAAAAAAACTGGCCCTATTGACCCCCTACTGACCCTCCTTAGCAAATCGCTCATGTATTGCGTTGCGTTGCTACACTCCATCAATTTAATCCAATATTCCTCTAAAAAATTCTTTACGCTTGAAAAATCTTTCGTTATACACCTTGACAACTCTTATAAAAGTAAATAGACTTAAGCAACAGATAAGATCTATAATCATTTGACATTTACTGAAAGATGAACAAAAATCGATAAGCAGGTTACTTTTACGACATTCTCCTTTGTTAATAATCATTGAAAAAATTTAAAAAAATAAAATAAAATAATAATAATAATTTCACATTCAAAAGTACCTCGTAAATTAAATATTAAATGCATTAAAATTTAAATCTATAGTGCACGTTGTGAGTTTTATGTTCCTTCAGGTCGCTACGTCCAGGATTATGTAAATTTCATCTATTACAATTTTGATTTTGCATTATTCAATTTATATTTTATAAAAATCTTTTCCATTTCTCAAATATTCCATCAATGACACTAGAACATTCTTTTATTCTATCGATTTGTAGCCTTAACCGGTCACCTTCGAGCGTAGTCATAACAACCACTACAGCTCTATACAACCATGCGCGAAATTCAAGATGATTCGAGGCGATTTCTCCTTCCCTGTATACACACACACACACATACAGATATATATACATACACTCCACTCGGGAGCGGTGTATAAAACACTCTTCAACGTCGCACGATAGCAAAAAATGTCTCGTTCTCTCATACCTTCATTGATGGATATGTGGAACATATGCGACTACCCCCAACGAATAGTCGATCAACACTACCGTTTAGGAGGGACTGACGATGATTTTTTCCCTTCGATGCGTTATAGGGAACATCTCAGACCACGTCACCATAGCATCCCTCAAGATTCTAGATCGGGAGTATCGGAAGTGGTCAATACTCGCAACAAGTTCCGGGTCATGACTGACGTCAGTCACTTTTCTCCCGAAGAGATCACTGTCAAGACCGTGGATAATTATGTTGTAGTTCACGGAAAACACGAAGAAAAGATGGATCAACATGGATTCGTCTCCAGAGAATTTACTCGAAGATATGCCATACCAGAAGACGTGGATCCCGAAAAGGTATCGTCATTTCTCAGCTCCGATGGTGTCTTAACCGTAGAAGCACCCAAAAAAAATCAAGAATTGCCAGCTAACGAGAGAATAATTCCTATAACCGTGCAAAAGGGTCCACCGATTGAGGAGAAGGAAGAACAAGAGGCACCCAAACAATAGTATTGTTTTCAGTTAAATTATTTATTAATTAATGTACGAGTAATTTTGTTTCGTAATATTATAAATTCTATGTTTACAATTAGTTCTTAAAATATATTATAACTTTATCTGCATATGTTGTATTATTTAAATCATTAAAGTTGATGAGTTTGTTGATGTCTTCATTTCGTATCCTATGTTACAATGATAATGCATTGCTACATAACCCGTAACTACGAGCAATCTGCTTCCTTCACTAAGAAGGCCTTTAATAAAAGACGTCAGTAAACCCCTATATAACGTCTATACACAACATTTAATACGAATATATCACTAACGAGAAACGAAATTTTAATATTGCTATCAACTAAACTCTTTCGATTCTTTTAATTGGTCGGGTTTACCCTCACCAACGCTGGCAAGTGGAGTTTTCCGGGTTTTATTCATTTTTATCTGTATCTGTATTTAAAACTAAAATTAAATTGATAAATAAAAATATAAAATTATATTTGATTTGTTTTATCAACAGATAATGAGTAATAAAACAGTACAAACGATTAATAAAATAGTATAACATGTAAGATGTAACAGGCTCCTTTAAGAGTCCTCTTTGAAACTATAATACACACTAATGAATGCTGTTTGGTCTGATAGACCTTCTACAGTAAGAAGTAATTCCCTTGTAATAGGTAAGCCTATTATAAATACATCTACTTGTTTTGTACGCTATTTTATTTGAAGAATGACAGATAACGAAGAACTTACTTGTTATTTAATGGCAAAGTGACTTAAAAGTATGAAGAATATGGCAGATTCTTAGAGATAATACAGTCGTGTGAATAAATTATCAGTTAAAAATATTTGCAGCATTTTTTAAAGTCATTTCTTCGATCTCAAATGAGACCATAAACCATTGTATACTTAATTAAACGGAATATGTTAAACGTAGATCATTGTACATAACGGAGAGGGACGGGTCAAAAGTGATTCAAGAATTAAAACAATCCCACAAGCTTAAATTTAAAAAATAACTTATTTACACTATGGTACCGACAGTACTGACTTTATATGTTTACCTCTTTCGCCTAAAATAAAAATGACACTGCCAACTGGCACTTCTATTTAGAATCGACATATGGTACCCAGTTTCCACTGAAGATCCACGGAGGCAATTGCAATTTCTCCAATTGCAACTAGCAGATGTCATGCAACACAGAAATGCACGGAGGAGTTCACCTTACTCACATTGGAAGTTTCGGAGATCACTAGCATTCGTTTGTTTGTTTGTTTAGTTATGGTAACGCAACACTTGGGCGATCTTGCCTAGTGGGAATACATTCCGGGAGGTCTTTTTTTAAGTGAAACTGGCCCCTATTTATTAAGGGAAACTGCCCCTATTTAGGCGTTATAAACGTGGAGAAAACCCGGAAAACTCCACGTGGCCAGCCCGTCCGAGCGATGCGCGAACCCACGACCGAACTCCCAGTGTTAAGAGTATGAAGATCGCTTGGCCATGATGGGCCGCCAGCACTCGTAGAATTTATCTTAGTGGATGGAATATCTTTATCACTCTTGTGAGTAGAGCGTCGAGAGCTTTTATATGGCCGGGGTAAAGCGAGGCCTCTTTGGCCATCTTTTTTCCGAAATATTAAATGAAATACAGTACATATTTTTTCTTTATTAATAAGAAAAGCACTCTTAAAGATTTCTGTTAGTAAAAATAACAATTTTATTGCGGTAGGAACCACTAAGGACTCCTACGTTTTCTCTCGATCCGGAGAAAAATTCCCAGTCTTCGATGGCCCTGATTGAATTTAAATTATCTATACTATACTTAGATGGGCACGTGGAAGTGAGTCATACTTTTACTAAGAAGGACCTGTTTTGACCCCTGCTCAAACCGATCTTCGCCTACTTTCTTTCTTGGCAGACGTTTCAATATAATAAAATGAAATAAAATTAAAAAAATAAACACAAAAATGGAAATAAAAACCAACTAAAATGACCAAATATAGAAGAAGAATGAGAAAGAGCTTGGCTCTAGGTATGTGAGAAAGATTAGGGATGCGAATATAGTATGAGTTTCCGTTTCAATATTCTGAAGTAAAGAGGATGATCAGTGAAAGGGGAAAGTAACCTCTTATGTTGAAGTATTGAATCTTACCTAGAAAATAAATTTTATATAGTTTTCTTTATAAATTGCATTTTTGTTTAAAATTTACAATAAATAATCATTAACGGAGAAAATGTTTAAAATATGTATTAAAATTCTTCATCGAATTATCAAATATCAAACAATTAATTGTTTAATTTTTTCGAGCTGTATAAAACACAAGTTTATCTTTTCTGAGAGAAGTAACACGAGGCGTTTTTCAGTCAAAAGTGTACGGCTCTATATTTCTCGGAAAGCCATAAAAATATATGAAAATAACCAATAAAATAAATAAAAATAGATTTACTTCACTTTCGTGCTATTTTCTCACATAAAAAACTAAATTTTGAGGCCATTTGTGTTTGAATTCTGAGCAAAGTAGCCCTTCTAAGTTGTCTAAAATTTAAATCCAGATTTTACATATCCGTTCTATCTGTGCCCCCTTCTGTCTAAGTCTTCTATCAATTCTGAGTCCCTCTATCCAGGCTTTCTATTCGTTCTATCTAAATCGTTCTGCATATTAATTCTGAACTTTTTATCTAGTCCTTCTATCTAAACACTTCTATCAATTCTATCTGCTATAGCCATTGTACAAAATTCATCTCATCTCTTGGAACTTTCATGCAGTTTCAAGTACATTCTTCAATAATCAAGTTCTAATAAATAACTACGAATTAATTATTTGTTTTTTTTTATAAATTTGAATATTAATACCATTCTTTTCCTATATTTAATAATATTAATATAAGGAATTTTTTAAAATTAAATTCTTTACTTTCTTGGCTGGCAGAGGTTTATCTTTACAATACAATCTTCTCACTCCAGTCGTTTTTTAATGGTTTTATCTATGATATTATGAATTTTTTCAAAATTATTATTGAATTTTAAAGAAATTTTTAATTAAAAACTTAAAAAATCAATATAAATTGATTTTTCAAGTTTATTAGGGGGAGGGGGATGCTATTTCGTATTTAATTTCGTATAGGCCTATAAGTATAATGTAATTTATCTTACATTTCGTACTCTCTCTTGTGAATTTAGGCATTAAGTTTCTTCCTATTAATTTACATGCATTAATTAAATTCATTACTATTATTTACTAAATTATCTTTATTTATATGCACATAATACATTTATATACACACAAAAACTCGTCCGAACTTTAAAACATATCTAACATAATACATAATAATTTTCATCATTTAATTATATCTTAAAATAGCTTCTATAGATTAATAGTAGGCAAAATTATATAATATTTACTATATATATTAACACAAGATCCTCCGCTTATACGACCCAATCGGTTCCTGAAAAATCGTCGTAAATCGAGCGATACTCTCATAAGTTAAAATAAGTTTCTAGAAACTTAACCTTAATTCTTTTAATATCACTTAGAGATAAAGTGCCATAATTTTTGTTGGCTATGTAATTACAATAGAAAATTTGTATCAGGCGTAAAAGCGAGGGTTGCAAAATCCAGCGGTCGTAAAGCGAGGGTTGTAAAGTCAGTGGTCATAAAGCGGAGTTTTACTGTATATATATTTTTTTAATACAGAAAAATACACATATCAATAACTCTGGAAATAATCACTCTAATTTATACAGTTACTAAGCAAAAAATAAAATCATATTTATATAATTTGTAACATTTAGAATATTGGTCCACAACAATTTCAAGTACAGTAACTTATTATTATTACTTAGCATTGAATTGTGTTCAAAACCAATATATGCTGGTAATTCTAGAAAATATAATTTTTAAATCAATTTATTACTTTTTTACGAAGTAAAATATATAATATAGACACTGCATGCCAAATTACAGATGAATACAGAACTTGCATACGTGGATAAGTGCAATTTTTAGATATCGACCTGGCACAAAAAAACTAAATATCTTTTTTAAACTTTAATGAAAATAATGAGCTTTTAAAGTTAAGCTAAATATATAAATTATAGGACAAATAGCGACTCAATTATTTAAATAAATAAAGTTACAAATAAATTTTACTAGAATATAGTCTACTCTTCTGTCTCATCAACAGAGGGACGTTGTTGTACAGTTATAGGAACCACTCTCTCGTTGCTAGGCAACTCTTGAGACTTTTTGGGAGCTTGCACAGTCAGCACACCCTCCGAACTCAGAGACGAAGTCACGCATTCGGGATCAACCTCTTTGGGCAAGATGTATCTTCGTGTGAATTCTCTAGAGACGAAGCCGTGTTGGTCCATCTTTTCTTCGTGTTTTCCGTGAACGACTACGTAATTGTCTATAGTTTTAACCGAAATTTCTTCGGGATCAAAGTGGCTGACGTCAGTCATCACCCGGAATTCGTCGCTATTGTTAATAACTTCCGATACTCCCGTGCTGGAATCCTGATGACTGGATTGACGTCTCGGCCTGATAATGTATCCTCTATACATTCTCGGAGGAAGAAAATCATCGTCTGATAATCCTAAACCGAAATTCTGTTCGAATAATCGAGGCGGACAATCTAGTACACTCCACCAATTACTCCCTAGCATAGAAGGTAATATACAGCGATGCATTTTCACTTAACAACGTTTCGGCAAATTTGATTGCCCGCTGTTGTCTTCTCTTATTTATACAGAGGGAGGAAGAATGTCGAGGTTTGTGGATCAATAATCGAGATCACGTGTCGTCACTTGCAACTGTAATCTCTCTGCAACGCGCAGTGCAGTTATATGCTGCAGCTGCGCGTTTGGATATATAAAAAAAATTCAAATTTCCTTCTATTTTGTATTGAATAATAATATAAACAAAGCAACAGTTTTCGATTTCTGTTACCTTAACTCGTTGTCACGCGCCCGCGCTCCGAACTTATCAAATGAATATTTTACATATTTTACACACTAAAATTAACATAAATTTTAAACTTTTAAACATTTCTTTCATATAACTTATTACTTTTAAATAATTATTAGTAATAAATTCAAATAATAAGTTCGTTAATTGATAACAATGACACCTTATTCTGAGGTATAAATTATATAAAACTTTAAAATTATGAGGAAGAAAATATTATTATAATTTAAAAATAGTTTTGTTAAAAGTCTAGTTATTATTATTAATTTTATGTTTATTTTGATTAACTTTCTCAGCAGAATATTAGGCCTATTCATTGTCAAGTTCATTGGAATGTACTAGAAACTTTAGGCGTCGCTGAGATTGTTGGCATGGTAACCGATCTCGTATTTATCACGAGCATGCGCCGTGTTCTTAGAATGTTCGAGACTTTGCTCTTGGTATTAATAAACTGGCGTTGACGGATAAACGTCATAGACTGAGTTGAAAGTGAGGAAATATGTCTCGTTCTATCGTCCCCGCTCTTCTCGGCGACAGTTGGTGGTCCATGTGGGACTATCCTCATCGATTATTCGATCAGCATTTCGGTTTGGGATTAACTGACGATGATTTCTTTCCTCCCACTCTGTATAGAGGCCACGTGATAAGACCACGACGTCAAACTAGTCGACAAGATTCGAGTTCGGGTGTGTCAGAGGTCATCAATACCCGCGACAAGTTCAAAGTCATGACCGACGTCAGCCACTTCTCTCCGGAAGACATAACTGTCAAAACCGTAGACAATTGCGTGGTTATACACGGAAAACACGAAGAGAAAGTAGACCAACACGGCTTCGTCNTTAATTCAGAAGGCAAAAACCTTAATAAATGAACATTTTAAATTAATTACATGACTGTTCTCAGCATATAAAGATTCATTCAACAGAATAGAATGTTGCAGAATAAAATTATAGTATATTCTAAAATGAGGAATTCCATTATATTTTATGGTCTACATTATTCTATTTTATTGAATTTTTTTTTTTGTATACTGAAGATAGATATATAATAACTGAAAATGTTTTATTTATTAAGGGTTTTAGTTTCCTGAATCAAGCAGCTATTTCTAACAGCTAAAGCTTATTTTTGATATAGAGATCATTTTTGTGCTAAAAAAAAATAGAATATAGTAATATAGAATAACAATATGTAAGTATAAACCTTTATATTTATTTAAAAACAACCAATTACAATCACAGTTATTAAACATAATTACAAATCGTAATTATAAAATTACACTTGAAACAAATTTTTAAATTATTACATTCAATTTATACTTTATAAATTCATCTTCTCAGACAGAGGAATAATGTTAAGTTTTTGTAAAATTTAAGGTTAAATATTTTTTGACATGGATGTGTGATGTAATTGAACTTGATGGAATTTGACTTTGAGTTGAAACTAATTTCATTTTCAACTGTCAAATTCCATCAAGTTGTTAGCTGTTCATGCCTGAAGATGACCCATTAACTAGGTTGAAAACATTAGTATTTTTTAAATTTCACTCACTGTTTATTGATTACATTGATTGGATACATTGATTAACTTCATTGATTAAAAATAATAGATTCTATGATAGTTGATGATGATAAAAGAAATAAAGAATTTAGATGAAATAATTCAAAATTTTAAATTTAGATTTTCAAAATGATATTTTGTTTACATTAAGAAATGAAAAAATAAAAAGAAATGCACTAAAATAGATATCTATTATGAATTTAATATGATAACTAATTTTTTAATTAATCTCTNGTTAAAAGTCTAGTTATTATTATTAATTTTATGTTTATTTTGATTAACTTTCTCAGCAGAATATTAGGCCTATTCATTGTCAAGTTCATTGGAATGTACTAGAAACTTTAGGCGTCGCTGAGATTGTTGGCATGGTAACCGATCTCGTATTTATCACGAGCATGCGCCGTGTTCTTAGAATGTTCGAGACTTTGCTCTTGGTATTAATAAACTGGCGTTGACGGATAAACGTCATAGACTGAGTTGAAAGTGAGGAAATATGTCTCGTTCTATCGTCCCCGCTCTTCTCGGCGACAGTTGGTGGTCCATGTGGGACTATCCTCATCGATTATTCGATCAGCATTTCGGTTTGGGATTAACTGACGATGATTTCTTTCCTCCCACTCTGTATAGAGGCCACGTGATAAGACCACGACGTCAAACTAGTCGACAAGATTCGAGTTCGGGTGTGTCAGAGGTCATCAATACCCGCGACAAGTTCAAAGTCATGACCGACGTCAGCCACTTCTCTCCGGAAGACATAACTGTCAAAACCGTAGACAATTGCGTGGTTATACACGGAAAACACGAAGAGAAAGTAGACCAACACGGCTTCGTCTCCAGAGAATTCACACGAAGATACATCTTGCCTAAAGAAGTGGAACCCGAAAAGGTCACTTCGTCGTTGAGTCATGATGGCGTGTTAACCGTGGAGGCACCTAAAAAGTGTGTAGAGTTGCCTAGCAACGAGAGAGTCGTTCCTATAACCGTGCAGAAATGTCCGGCCGTGACTGAACAGGAAGCATCCAAATCCGTACCTCACCAATAAAAAATAAACAGAAAAGTAATTACTAAGCCAGTGATTGCTTGTAGTTCTTTCAATAGTTTAAGTGTTTTGCAGTTTAATATTTTGTATGAATTTGTAAAATGTGTATAACCTCTTGTCATTTTATAATAAATGGATTTTTTTTCAATATAAATCGCCTGTTTGTGATTTTTTTTTATTTTTATCTATTTTTTTGAACAGTGGACCCAAATTATATATAAAATTAGAGATTAAAATAGTTATTTTATCATTATGAATTTTAACTAAAATTATAGGGTAATTTAGTAGGGGGTCATTCAAATAGGGACCATGAGAGAGAATTATAATAAGAGATAGTGAATTAAACGGAAAGTTAGGAAATATAAAGTTGCTTCTGTAAGTTCAGAGTTAATCTAATAAAATTGAAATATCTAATATAGCAATTTGATAGAAGAAATCACCAGTAATTAGAATGTCAAAACTGCCTCTCAAAGGACTCTAGGTCAAACCCAATGGGAAACCAGGAATTTTTCATGGACTCTTGAACACGTTGGTTCCAATTTCTCACTATCCTGCCGACTCTACTGAGGTCCTGGCCCACGATGGCTGTGATTAAAATGGGAGTCTTCTCAGGATGTAAAGAATTAAAAAAATAGCCATATGAAGATCATGTTTTATTGACTAGAGCTAGAATTTGTATATGAACTTTTCATGAGTATCTAAACATTGTGGATCATATTCTTCATCAATGTATGAGAAAATTGACTCTCTTTATTTAAACCACAGTAAGCGGGTATCTCATATTAATAAGTCAAATCAAATTGACGCGCAATGAGATGACAACGTACAAATATAGGAAACTATAACCAGATATCATGATAAATTATAAATATTTGAATCAAATTCGGATTCTTCATAGCGGCAAGTGGATGTCTTAGCACATCGCTCTTCTGGCTAACTATTAGTTTTTACTTTATTTTATGTAATCTTTCAACATCAGCATGTTTTCGGATCTCTTTATTATTCATTTATTATCTTTGGTTAAGAATATTTCCGGACTCTACAAACAATCTTCGGCTGCTAACTTCAGCTTCTTTCAGCGATTTAAAAACATTCTTTATCAAACAGACTGTACTTATAGACTATTATGAATGTATTAAATATGAATTATTCAATGCTTCAAAATTTTAACAAGCATTTAAGAAATTTTGGATCATATCAATAAAGCGCAACATTGGTCATCAATTCAACTTTATTACACAATTCCAGGCAAATGGCTTCCAATTTGAAATACAGTACTGTAATGAATATATTCAAAACAATTTAGCCCAAATTTCCTTAATCTCAATTACGTCAAAAAATTTAATAAAATCTTATTACTTATTTTATATCTTAACGAAATTAAAATAATATAACATTATTAGACTTTATTATCATTATAAACTAATTTTAATGCGTTTAATGTTTACATAGCAACCGCATGGCGGATTTTTTGCGTTTGTAAACAAACCAACGTGGTATCCGAGCAACCGATAGAGACTTTTTTGAAGCAAATATTGTTTAATTAAAGGTAAATTTTATTCAATAAGTTATTAAAATATAGAATTACCTATTTTATATTTGCAGAATAGGTTGTGAATTTTCTGTCTTAATAATGGAATTTGGGACCCCTCTGGTGATTAGAAAAAGAGCAACCTAGATGGAAAGGGGCATGTAGTCCAAGTGTCATAATGTATGAGTGCTCCTGCATGAAGGATAGGTAGATGAAAAAACGGATCTGATAAATCTTCATCAAGTATGACACGAGGAGGTGCACTTGCGCATCTAGCTCAAACAAAAAATGTGGAAGTGAGAGGAAAAAACAATGAAAATTACAAAGATTAGTTAATTTTGCATAAGTAATATAAACAGTAATTAATTGTTCACTGTACACTGATGCATCCCCTGAAATAAATCCTTCTGACACCACTGATCTTCATATATCCCTCTTAGTGCATACAGAAATAGGAAGTTTAGAAAAATATACTTAAATTGCCAAAATAGTCTGTAACTTAATTATAAAGATATATAAATTCTTTTGCACTGTTATGTTTTTGGTAAATGCTTTATATATAAAGTACACAACACATGCCAGATAATCAAAATCTTTACTAATCAACATGAATTTTTTAATTTAACAAGTACTTTCAGCTTTTTGAAAAGCTATCTTCAGGATTTTCTAAGTTAACTGAAGTTAAGTGACTACACATATGTAAACTTATGATTTTTAAACAGTGTTCATACTGACATTTTTCATTTGAATTCAGATGGTAGAATTCTGTTGCAGAATACTATAGAATCTTGTTATTTAATTTGTATTTTAATTTATTTAGTGTTCTGTATTACATATCCACTTCTCATTTACTACTAAATTTTTTATATTTATTGTACAGTTAAATTTATATTTCAAATATTTAAATATAATGTTGATTATTAAGCTTTTAATATTGTTTCAAATTAATTATTTAAAAGAAAATTAGTAAATAAAACAGAAAATAACAGTAATTACAAACTATATCAGTGAAAATTAATTATTTTATATGTAAAATGTATTTGTTACACCAATGCAAACTATAAATTATAAAATTAATAGTGAATACAGGACATCAATCAGTGGTTCCCAAACTTTTTTGGTTTACAGCAACTGTGAAAAGTGTAAAATTTTTCTCATGCACTTCATGTACAAAATTAAAAGCATTAATATATTTTAAATTATGAATAGCTGTATATTTATAATTGCTATCCTGTAGGCTTGGCCTAGCTACTAGTTGATTGTGAATGTCAGTGGTGTGCCGTCCATGGAAGCTGTGGAAGCACCGCTTCCCTTATATTTTCTAAAATATAAATATGTATTGTCTGATTATTTTTGTATTTTAATGTACTTTGAATTAATTTAAATTAATATTTTATTATAACCACATTATGTATCTTATTACAAATTTCTATACTTGTGAAAAACAATGATAAGATTGCTATTGTACATTCGAATATAAATCTGTATATGCATATTCCCAATGAAAGTGCTGTATTGTCAAAAAGGGACAGATTTCACAGTGAAAATATTTGAATGGTGAAAAACAACCAGACTACAGGCTTTTGCACATGCGCTTTACAGAGCACCAACTTCACATGGTTTAGCTGGTGGATGCTACACACCAAAATATCGTATAATGCTTCCAATGATTTATCAAATGTCATCACATACCACTGGTGAATGTAAATAATGTCATAAATCTTTGTACAAATGATTTTTTTTTCTCATATTTAAAGTATACTTTCATAATATTTGTGGCACATTTAGCCATCTGTTGCAGAACTTAGGTGTTCCTCAGCAGACTGCTTGAGAATCATTGCTTTAATTAAATATACAGAGTATTCTTGTATTAAATATACAAGAATAATCTCTTGCAGATTTTAATGGAATTATCTAAAGAAAGTTTGATACTTTGAATACTTTGAATTATTTTTTAGTAGGCTACATATTAATGTGAAAAAATTTAAGATGGCTTTTTAAAAATAGCTGAAAATACTTGCTAAATTTAAAAAATAGCAACATTATTGGTTATTTGATATCAATGTCTAGTTTGTGACTTGTTTGATAAACATAAAACAATAATAAACATTGTAGCATTACTGATTTGAAAAGTGCAGAACTCAAACTGAAGAGTTTGTGAATCAATGCAATACCAAACTGGATGAAACTAATATAAACCAAAAAATTTTTATAGCTTAGCATTTAATTATTAGATAAACAAATTAGCCATCATCTGTACAGTAATCACATGTGTTTCAAAACACATGTGATTGCTGCACAGGATTTTAGACTCTGTTCTAGAATATATTCTAGAATCCTGTAGTCATATATGATTTCAACCTGATAATGGCTAGTTAATTAAGCTGAAAACATTTGTTTATCTAAAATTAAATGCTGGATTATAAAGGTTTTCAGTTTGTAAATTATAAATAATTAAAATTACTTATATTTTAATTAATCATTGTTTCTGATTTTTATAAAAAAATTATTTTGTATTAAAATACATTTTTAACAGAGATATAAAATAATATGTTGTATTAAATATTGCTAAATATTAATATGAAAATATAAGTATAATATTTTTGTAATAGTTTATTAAAAGAATGATAATTTTGAAATTTTTCAGATATAAAATATGAAAAGGAATCAGAATTATCCACCAATTATTTCGTCATCTGAAATAAATTCATCATCTATGTATATTTATAAGGTATTTTATTTATTATAATTCTTAATTATTTATTAGTATTGTTTAGTATTTTCATAAAAATTTACTTTTAAAATAAAATAACTTATTTATTATATTGTATTGATATATAGAAAATAGCTCTTTCATACTTTAGTATATGTAGTGGCCAGCAGTGCTTGCAGACTATAAAAAAAGGAGAGGGTACATGGGAGGGGAGTTAATGAAGATTTTACTTGTTATTAGCATTTACAATTTTTTTATATAAAAGTCATCCCTACTCTCAAAATTAAGCTTTTTGTCATTTTATAATAATTAATAATATAAAATTTTAACAAACAAACAAACAAACTCATAAATGGCACTATACACCACTGCATACTGAATGGATAATGTAATTTACCTTTTACCTAAGAAACCTTTTAATCCTTCAAAACTCTACCAAATAAAATGCTTCCAGCCATGTTGAATGGCTGTTGTCAAGTTGTGTAATAAACTTATATTTGAATTATTGATACTATAATTTTGTTGGATTGAAAAATTTTTGTTATTAATACTAACCATATACAAATAGTTAATGTATTACAGCTTGCCAAAAACCTTTAGTTTTAAGTATTATTACATTTCATGGAAATGCATTTCAGGAACAAGATCTTCTCAATGTACTGTACATCTTAGGTTTAACAGCAAGTTCATATAAATCCTATCCAATTGACACAAACACATCCTTAAAAAACAATTCCCTTTAAATGTTTATTTTAATTAAACCAAATTAAATTTGTCTGTTTAATTAAAATAAACATTTAAAGTGCATGCAAAAAGTTTTGGAAAGTTTATGATCAATTTCATTCTGAACAAAAATTAACTTCAGTTTTTAAAATTGTGTGTGGAGTGAATGAGAATGTATTAGGCAATCATCTTTTTTTGATGTTTTTTTAAAAAAATGTTTTTGTATCAATTGGATAGGATTTATATGAACTTTTTATTAAACTTAAGTTGTTTGTTTGGGAGAGGGGACCTTGTACCCAAAATGCATTTTCATGAAATTTAGTAATACTTGAAATAAAGATTTTTGGTAGCTTAACTGCTGAAATATATAAACTATATTTATATAGTTAGTGTTAAATAAAANGACTGAAACATTTGCTATGCTCAACACAGCTTACAGTGATGTTGCTATGAAGTGTATGGCATGTTTGAAGTTGTCCCCTAGACCCAAAAAAGCTTGCCAAGTTTGATTCAATGTCAAGGTGATGATGACAGTTTGTTTTTTTTTTTTTTTTGGTGTTGTTCACCATGAGTACCTCCCCCAATGCTCCAAAGTAAACAGACTTACTACATTGAAGTTCTGAAACGTTTGAGGGACATGGCGTCCCCATCGCAAAAGGCCAGAAATGTGAAGGAGTGGCGACTGATTTCTCCATCACAACAATGCTCCAGCCCATTCACCCCTCAGAACTCGTGAGTTTTTGGCCAAACACTCGATCACTGTTCTTCCCACCCCCCTGCTTACCTGACCTTGCTCCTTGTGACTTTTTCTTGTTCCCCAAACTCAAAAGGCCCTTGAAAGGAAGAAGATTTGAGATGATTCCAGAGATTAAGGCAAATGTGACGAAGGCGCTGAAGGACATTACAAAAGAAGCGTACCAGGACTGTTTCAACAAGTGGAAACACTGTTGGGATAAGTGTGTGAGTTGGGAAGGAGAGTACTTTGAAGGGGACCCAGACATGTAACTTCTACATAAAGTACATTTTGTTTTATGATATCAGTCTGCATATTTTTTGAACAGACCTCGTAGTGATTGTCAGAGATAGGAATCATACTGTGATTGATTCAATCTTTTACTGATTAATTGTAATGTGATTTGAATTGCAATTATTATTTTGTAATTTTAATCTAAATTAAAGATTTTTAATTCATTGTAACTTACTGATTGCAATTAGTTGATAATTATTGAATAAAATTACATTTTAAAAATATCATTATATTAATTATTCATATTTTGAAATAATTAACTAACTAAGCTATATTTTAGAAATTAAGGAGAAATGATGAATATCCTCCTCTTCTTCAAAGTCAATCATTGACACTAGCAGTACCATTTAAAGAACAAAACTTCCATCGACCTCCAAGTGAAAGAATTGGAAATAACTATTCTCCTTTAGCTAAAGAATTAAAAATTCCACTTCTAAGAAAACATAAAAAATTGTGTATCCTTTTTTTTAAAATTTATTATTGATAATAACAAAACTTAGTTAAATTAATAAATTAAAACTAAAAGAAATGAAAATATCATGATTTTAATACACCAATGATTTATTTAGCTGTGCATAAGTGTATTTTAACTATAGAAATTGAGACAAAACTAATACATAAATAAATAAACAAGATGTCTGCTTAATTCAGAAGGCAAAAACCTTAATAAATGAACATTTTAAATTAATTACATGACTGTTCTCAGCATATAAAGATTCATTCAACAGAATAGAATGTTGCAGAATAAAATTATAGTATATTCTAAAATGAGGAATTCCATTATATTTTATGGTCTACATTATTCTATTTTATTGAATTTTTTTTTTTGATTACTGAAGATNAATGAATATTGAATCTTAAAAGTATAGATTCTATTTAACAAATATTATTTATTGTTCATTAATTACAGTTTTTAAAGTATATAAAAATATATTTAAATTGAAAGATATTTCATATATATTTCTTATATTTTACCATAACAGTATTCTATTCTATTATTTTGAACTATATCTTTTATGATCCAATAAATATATGAATATCTTGTATTTGAGATGAATTTTAAATACTGGATTAAATCATATATCATAGGAAAGAATATTTTTTTAGTCTCTGTTTACATTTTTTTTTAAATATCTGAAAGATTATTCAACCCACCCAGTGGATGACTGAACACTGGTAGTTGGACACAAGATTTCATCTCACCAACAAGCTAACTACATAGAATTTTCTGGGTTTTTTTCACATGTCTAAGGCCTAAATAGGGGTCAGTTTTCTATAGAAAGACTTCTAGGAAGAACCTCCCTTGCAGATCACCCCAGTATTGCATTGCCATATTTCATCAATCCAATTCTGGAAGATTATTCAGTACACTTATAACGTCAGAAGATAATCATTTTATTTATCAGTGTTTAGAAAAATATAATATTTGCATCTTATATTTGGACTATACATTTTTAATTTCTTTTTTATATTTTAGTTGCTATAAAGTATATTTACATATAAACAAGCATCAGTCTTATAAGTATGACAATAGAGAAAACATGTCAGGTTTTAAAGAAAATAAAATTTATAATGTAGTATAGATATATGACAATAACATTTTTTCTGGATACCACTTATATTCTATATTCATGATTTAATACTTATTCTGTGCATCAATATATGTCTTTTATACTATACACCTTTTTATTTAATTAAAAAAAATAAAATAACTACTTCCAACACTTTAACACCTCGCTTAATAATAACGATCCACGGAAAAAGCCTTTTTTACGAGGGTTATTTTCACAATTAAGTTCCACAAGTACTTTCGATCTCCACCGAGGTCTGCTTCAGGTGGTGACTGTCGACCCGACCGTTGTAACGATGTTGCCAACGAAGTAGATAAATAAACGTGCGCGTCGGGTTTCACCCCTCCGACCGCCATTGCTCGAACTCCTCGAATAAATACTTCCACGCCTGTGCAAGTGTTTCCCCGTCCTTGTAGTTGATGCAGTTGCCCCCCCTGCTAGCTTTGTGAATCTCCCAGGCCTCCGGGTGACGGATGTGATCCGCGCGGAACACGTGTCTGATAACTTTGGTGTTCCGGAAGTCCGCCCTTATTTCAGGGTCGGTGACATAGGTGGATAAGGCAGTGGTGTGTCTTTTATGCTTAATATCAGCTTGGTGTTCGCGTATTCGTTTCTGTGTTGATCGGATGGTGGAGCCGATGTAAACTAAGTCTCTATTGAACCTGTCGTCCCGTATGGGAATGGAGTAAACACCTGGGGCCCTGGTGAGATCGATTGCGTCCTTCGCGTNATTGATAAAATATACATATGTATGAAAAGTGTATTTTAATTTATAAAGTATAAAATTTGAGAAGAAATTTATATATGATTAAAATTTAAAAGATTAGAAGAAACACACTAAAATATAAAAAAGATGTCTTTATAATTCAAACTTTTCACACAACTCAGGACACAACAAAGTCATATGGCAGAGTCAATCTTTATTTTGAGGCTCTTCTCCATCATAATATGTGAAACTTTAAAAACATCCTTTTATTAAAAACAAATTAAATCTTATAGTAAATATTTAACATAAAATTGGCATCAGTATAATTAAACTTTAATCTTAATTAAATTACTTTTTAATCATGAATATAAATAATATTATACTCTTTAAGAATAACTTTTTTTAATTTAACAATTTTAAAAGTTAAAATTTAATACGGAAATAAAAATTTGTATAAAAATTTTACTTTATGATTAAGAAGTTCATACTGATGAAAGTCATGAAATCTCTTTTAATCTTCTTTATTAAGCTCCTTGAAGATTTGGTGAAGTAGCTATTTTCCTAGAAATGCTAAAATCATGTTATGTTCTTTAACAGTATTTATTACTCATTAAATATTTCATAAACAGTAAAAACATTTTTGATAATATAGAAATTAAATATAATTAACATTTACATTGTGTTTTAAATAAGATATTTGTATATTTAGAATATTTATTACATTATAACAGTAAAATAAAATAAAAAATATGTAATAAGTAATCATTTAAAAAAAAAAAAAATTATAATACAAAATAATAAGTAAAGTAGTTTTGAAATAATTCATTACTTTTAAATGTAAATATGATTTTTCTACTAAAATATATATATTTAGAATAAATCTCCTGAGACCATTAAGTCCATTGAAGAAAAAGAAGATTTTGGAAAAATTGGAATATTGTTTTAAGAAGGAACTTTCAAAAGAAGATATAAAGGTGGATATTCTTTTTTTTATAATAGTAAAAAAATAACTAGGTTTTCAACAAAAAGACTTTATACTTTTTATATATACAATTTGATAGTTCACTTATCAAAAATGTGATTTGATGTCTAACTAAATCTCATATTTTTATTTTTTATGAATGTTAGAGATCTGATTGTACTACAATATTTTTTAAAGGATTTTTTATTGTATATAACTTAATCTTACATAAACTAAACATTTTTAAAAACTTGAAAAGTATGCATTAACTTTTAAAGATATTTTATCTGAATCTTTGCTAGGTACAGTACCATAATTGTTTTACGTACATTTCTCTTCAGTGCAAATCCAATTCAAAATCCATTTTTGTAGTATAACTTTATTTTATATGTTTTAGAATGTTTTTCTTTGGAAATGTTTTCTCTATCTATTTATTTATAAGTCTTCTGTCTATCTATAATAGTAGAAAGTAGATATTTTTCATTAATAAATGACATTATTTAAAGTAGTTTTAAATATTTACAATGATAGGGATGGAAATTTGTCAAAAGGGTTGATGTGTCATGAAGAGTTCATATGTGGGCAATCAGCACTGAGACAGACTCTATAGTTACAAGAAACTGTTTAATTGACATGAAAAAAATGCTTACAAGATTTCCGCGATTTTGGAAGTTTCAAGTCCCCTTTCCAAGATAGTACATGAAGTAGTGTCCCTGGTTCGTGAATGACAGTTCTCTCGATGACTCTGGGACAATGTGGTTGACTTTCAGTGATGGGAAGATGTCAAACCGAGGATGAGAGACAGAGACAAAGATGGGCACAAGACTCACACACAACAATTGGTCTGACACTTGGAACTTTTGGGAGAAGTTGTCGTGTTCTTGAATTCCTGGGGTTTTATTAATTTCCATCCTTGATTGCCCATTCCGATTGGTGGCTTTCCTCGTTTTCTCTTTCTAAGTGATTGACCACTCGTTACTAATTGTAATGAGATCTCAACTTAGATCCCAGGAGAAGTCAAAATTGAAGTTTAATTCAATCCTCAACCGGAAATGGTCAATGGACTTACATTCTTCTATTGTTTAAAAGTTTGCGTTCCATTTTCATACAAAAAGTTATTTCTAACATCTATTTTTTTCTTTAAAAAAAATTATTTTGACATGAATTTCAGTGAGGATTCAGACCTGTCCAGAGCCTCACAGATGTATAAATTACCATAAAATTTTAAAATTTATATAAAAGAATTACACTCTTGCTATAAAAATTAGCACACCAAGAAAGAATTGTCATATCACTGCAAAACTTGGCATGCAGATAAGTCTCAAGCAGATATGAAAATGATTAGAGTTATAGCTTGATGGCTCATTGCATAATGCCAGCAGAGGACATTAAAGTGCATTCCCCTTGGCCTATAAAAAAAAGCATGCAAAGGCATCCTGTTTGTAATTTACGTGTTGCAGAGGGATGCTATATCACTAGAGATGCCTTATGAACAACTAACTGAGTTTGAGAGGGAAGGATCATCAGGTTGAGAAAAGCCAGGTGGTGATCTTGTTGAATAGCCGTCCACTTAAGCCATTCTGACAACACTGTGAGGAGGTGTTGGGACTAGTAGATGAGAGAGAGCTTACACACACAGTGCACAGGCTCAGAATGTCCTTGGCAGATCACTAGCCTGAGAGGACCACTGGTCCTCCAACAAGCATGCACACAGCCAACCGTATTGTTGTACACCATCTGGACACAGGTGGCACTATCATTACAGGCTCTTGTGTCTGTCCATACCATTTCAAGGTGCCTGGTGAGGAACATTTGTTATTGCAGCAGCCATTATGTGTGCTGCCATTGACACCATTCACCATTGCCTCCATTTGGAATGGTGTTGGTCCCAACAGGATTGGACCATAAAGGAATGGTACCAGGTCATCTACAGTTATGAATCCAGATTCAGTTTGGGCACTGATGACAGCCATGTTTGTGTCTGGAGGTCCTGTGGTGAATGCCTCAATCTTGCCTACATTTTGGAGTGGCACACTGCCCCAAAGCTGGTGTGATGGTTTGGGGTGCTATCATATATGACAGCTGGTTATCTCTAGTTGTGATACAAGAGACAGCCCAGCAGTAGGTTAGTGACATCCTGCAGCCACATGTATTGTCTGTCATGGCAGGCCTTTCAAGAGCCATTGGAAAATAAAGACTAATGTCTTTATTTTTCACGATTGTCAATATCATTGTTCATGGAATACGGTATGAAACAGTTAAAATCTCGAACACGCATGCCACCTTCATATTTCTCAATAATTTCTTTTATCAGTTCCATTGTGATCCTAATCATTTTTTAGTTTTCTGTTGCTTTTCATTTGCCTTTTTGCAATTCATGATTAATAAAAATAATAAAATTTTATTTACGAATTAAAATCAGAAGAAATTGCGAAATTAAATCTGCTAATGTTGCAAAAGGGGTTAAATCAATTTCTAAACAGAAATTGAAGACATTAGATCATGTTGAGAAATTGCTTTTGCTTTGG